TAAGGAAGAAAATTTCTTGAATTTTGTGAAAACAACTTGCTAATTAATATTTTTATTCATTTTGCAAAATAATTGCATTTCGAAAGTGGTGTCACTGAGTCTGCTGCGAGAATTTCTCAGAACGTGCTTAACCACGCTGAATAAGCGCTCCACGGGAGTTCAAGGTATTTAAACACACGAAGTTAGCTGTGAAAGCATATATATTGCACATTAATTTTATAAATTACAAAAACATAAGAAATTTTTTTTAAATTTAATTTTTTTAAAATTTTTTTTAGAAAGATTTCCGAGTTTTAGAAAAAAGTAACGATTTCATTCCACATTTTCGTTACAAATACTTGTACTTTTTCCCTAAAAAAGTAGCGAAAGTACAAGTAAAAGTACTAAATTTAAAAAGTAACGAAGTACAAGTAAAAGTACGTACTTTTTACTTGTACCGGCGGTACAAGTAACGAAAGTAAAAGTACTGCCATATATGTATATATATATACACATGCACACATACTTGCAGGGATGCCAAGTGCTCCGGACGTGCCAAAACAACTGAAAAAACGGTAAATAACTACAGAGTGAATTTTACAAATATTTGACTATTTTTGCTTGCTTTTTAAAAGGTATAGCATGAAATAAGTACTATAAAGTGGCGAATTATATAAGCCTACGAATTATTTAGAAATAGTGGTGGATAAAAATCTTCTAAGTTGAATTTATTAAACCAAGAAACACAATTGGTAAACTACCACTTTAAACTATATATTTGCTCTCCGGAGCAAGTTAGCATCTCTGTACTTGTATGGAAAATTTTAGCCTTTCAATCAAATGTGTTGACTTTCATTGTAAATTTAAACAACGTGACTGCTAAAATTCATATTTTATCCAGTAGTTTTACTGCAACCAGTTATCAAATACATTGTCACCCTGTACTTTTAATACTTAGTTTTAACAAAATGTTGTTTTGCTACATTCAAGTCATTCTTTCTGCTTTATTTATAATATGTACAAGTCCGATAATCGAAATTTGCTAATGATAAAAAATATTTTGTCTGGGCAGCTTCTAGCAAAATAATATGTGATTACGTATTTCCATTTCTCATTATTGATAACCTAAGGCTATTCGGTGTTTCGTGTTTCAGGCTGACTGAACACTACTCTCTGCAGACACACCTTCTGCCTATATTTTGTGTGAAGAACTTGTTGCCATGAATATTATTTTATACTTTTTTTTCCAGTTTTAGTAACGAACTTGATAATTAGTTTGAAATTTTAAAAGACTGAATTAACTGGTCTCCCAAGCAAAACACAGCAAACCCTATAATTCCCCCTCCTGTTTTTCCTTTGTTAATTTTTTAAATTGTTTGTCATTTTTGAGATGACACAGAAATAACTCTGAAAATATTTTGTTGATCACAAGCTGTTGTAGATATTTTAAGACTTAAGTTTTATTTTAACCACATTTACACTGTAAATTTTTAAATGACTTGTTTAAAAAATTATGATTTATATATTTTTTTAAAGAATAATCTTTTAATGCAGTTTATTTACATTGTATAATAAGTAATTTAGATAACAGGTACATGAATTCTGTTTGTTCTGTCGTAATTTATTTACGTGTCATTTGATTTTTGAGCAAAAGTGTTGAAGAAAGAGTATACATATCACGTTTAGTACATAGTTTTTATTGAAGCCCATGGGGCCGGATAGCCTGGTTGGCGAGGCACTGGATTCGCGTTCGTAAGAACGGGAGCTCAAATTCCGCTGACCGCAGATTCCCCGTGTAGTAAATGGTGACTGGTACACATCAAATCTGTCAAATCATGAAATCCTCCATGTTCCAATGATAAATTAAGGAAGGGTACTGAATTGGAGATGGATCATTATCCGGTTCAGGTCAAAATTATGATCTGTGGAATGGGTCCGCTCAATAAATGAATTATTCGCTATGAATGGCACCACTGGAAAACAAGAACAATCGCACTCCTTGCCTATGACAACAACAACATTGATGCTCATTCACGAATATTATAATACACAATCAACTCTTTAAATATTCACAACTTTTTTATTTAAGGATTTGAAATTTTATCCATGACGCAGGGCATTATTTATTGTTCATTTAATTTTTATATTCTGTTTGATTTATGTTATTTTTTTGAAGAATAAAATATTTAGTATGATTTGTTTTTTGTTTATTTTTTTAAAATGACAGTTCAAAATTGCACGACATATTTTTTTTTTTTGCCAATTAAATCTGCAGGAACTTTGGTAATGATTGCATTGAATGTTCATTTTTAAAGTTCTTGTATAAAATAAGTGAAAGAAAGAACAAAACTGTAAACATTACTTGGAGTAAATTATTAATTGAGCGAAGAAAAAAAAACATTTAATCATTATTGCAGTTAGGAAAAACGTAAAAGGGTTTTAATTCTTCATAAACTTAAAAGAAAGAACATCTTAGATCAGGGGCTGTCCAAATAAAATACAGTTTACTCTCGATATCTCGAACTTCGATAACACGGAAACCTGGTTATGTCAAAAAAATATTTTTCCCCTTGTCATTATCCATATAATCACCTAATGTTAATTTGAATTGCTATGTTAAAAGTTTCTTATCAAAACCTTGTTATGTCGATTTTTTTTTTCGATATAGAAAATGAATTATTTCGGAAAAATCACAATGTCACTTTATTGTACACCAAATCTTTTCTATTTAATGCTTAATTATTTTTGTTTTATTTTTAAAAATAAAATTATCATTGTTGTATTCAGACTAATTGTCAACTATAATTACATACATATTTAATAGTAGTCATTCTTATGTTTCATAACTCTACTTTTTAGATTAATATTTTAGAACATTATTAGCTCTGAACTTATCTCGAAAACTCGCTATCTCGAAATGTCTTTAGCGTCCCTTCAACTTTGAGATATCAAGAGTATACTGTATAATTTTTTTTCCTTCCATATTTTTGACTTCTATCCTTCTTTTGTTGCAAAAAATTACGCTTGATCATACTTCACATGCCAAAAATTAGTTTTTAACATTTTTTTTACATATTGCTGGATGTTTTTATGGTGTATTTCATCATTTTTGGGTCATAAAACAAAATTCGCAAGACTCAAAATATTCACATGCCATCGGACTATTTATATCGAATTTCTTATCATTTTTCATTAGAATTTAGACCATTTTTACATAGAAAATCGCTTTGTGAAGGCATACAAACAGAAAAACAAACTTAAAAATATTGTTTTTTAAGTCAAATAATACTAAATTTCTATTGGACGCAGGAGGTTGTAAAATAGTATTGATGATTTGTATAAAAACAGTGAATTCATTCCCAGTGAATAATTTATTCGTCAACAGTTATTTAACAGGTGTACATTTTGTTGACTCTTTCGATGTCGTTCCTGGTCATTCTCTGCTTGTTGTAAGGATCAGACAATTTCTGTCCATTTCTGGCCACCATGGTGTCCTGACCGTTCATGGAGAAGGACTTGTTTCCGTAGATCATGATAGAGTTGTAATCGAAAGAGTTGTACAAGACGTTTTGGTGTGGGGCGAGCTTGTTAAAGTTGAATCGCATGTCTGTAAAAAAGTAGACATTGAATTAAATAAAGGTTATTTCGTTTTTTTTTGATAATGAAAGGAGATTCTTATATAATAAATTAATATTTCATTGAATCATATATTGTCTATTCGTGTCCAATGCTTTTTTGCCATCTTTTTGACAGTAGCATGAATCCAACCTCGTAAAACTTTTATTTTTTGCCAAGAAACGGGTCCAAATGATTTTCGACATTAATCCTTCCACTCGGCAACGACGCTATATATATATATCTATATATATATTTCTCTTACACGGCGATAAAAAAAAGCCTCATTACAACTCCCCGAATGGCAACGCTAGAAAATCGACCAATGATTGCAGCTAAAAATGTCACATGCCAAAACTAGATGTGATGGTTCAACATATAGCGCTTTTAAAAACGGAAACTG